TTTATCTCAACCCATGGGTTTTCTCACTTTTACCTTTCCAATTCTGCCCCCCGTCCCCGTCCCAGTGCCGGGGGAGTGAGCGAGTGGTAGTGTGCTGCTTAATTGCTGGCCAGGGTTAAACCACAGCAATTATATTGGATTGATCTTGATAAGGGCAGTAACTTTGTATGAAAGCCTGGTTCTTACTAAGAAGAAATAACAAATTCGATTATTTTTTTTTTAAATAACTTGCTGAATTGTGATTGGCATGACTAGAAGCAGATTTTTAGTATATGACAATTTGCATTTTTATTTTAAAGAGGAAACATGCTTTAGACACGCTGTAGGAGATAAATTAGATTCATGCTGTGTCTTTGAAAAAAAAAAAGGGATGAGGTGGTTACCACTTCTTGTAACACTGTTAAATTTACATAGCTATGTCTAAATAGTCACCTGTGAACTTTTTATTTGTATGCAAGCTTAATTTATACTACAGCCTATAAAAATTGGCACATCTGAATATGCATTTCAAATTATATATATGCTTAACTACATAGATCAAATCAGAAATGGATTATGTTAATGATCAATAATCTTGAAAAGAAGATAATTTTGAGAAGGTTTGAGAAGGTTTATGTCTTCATTCTGCTACCAAATGTATTGCTAAATGTCACAAAAATGCATCTAATATTTCCAGAAGAGACTAGTAACTTTGAGCTGAAGTCCAATATAGCTTTCTTCTCAAATTCCTACTAGATTGTTGAGCAGACTATTTAAATTTTATGCAAAGGATTACTGTAATCAGCACTGTCCGACCTAGATAAAGGTCCAAGAATGTATCATAATTATCTGTAATTATTCTACTGTATGAACCCATTAAGTTTTTTAAAAAAAATCATTGTACGTATTAACTAGTTTTCAGTATTCAGAATTTGAATTATTATTCATTATGATTTAACAGGTCTGATATTTTTACTTAGTTTTTATTATGTGGTAAGTACTTTTTTTCTAGAGTATTGTTCCTTCAATAATCATGCCAATTATATTTTACTGTGAAATTAAATTAGTATTTTTGGAAACAAGCACAATTGTACCAATCTTTTTTTGGAGACTGAATGAACAAAATACTTGAATCCAAAAGAACCAAATTGATTTTAAAGTTTTGTCTGCATTTGCCAAACTTCTTTTCAGTATTTACTGAATTCTGTCCTTTAGTAATGACACTGATTATCTTTAAACACTTCTGGTGAGATTTAGTTTTGAAATGGTACTATTGAACTACTGAGTAGTAACTATTGTGAAAATTATTTAAGAGGGTTTTTTTTAAGTGGTATAGGATTAATTGACCATTTGGAGACCTCAGAGTGAACCTGCGTAAAGGTGGTTGGCAAACTTTTCTTGTGGTGCATGAGAAAAGTATCTCTAAATTCATCTAGTCCAGTAGTTTGTATCTGAAAGTGACCAGTTGCAGAAAACTAGGGAAGAATATAAGAAAATGGCAAGCATATTGCAGTACTCCACCATAACACTCCCAGAAACTCCACTTATTGAAACCTAAAGGAAGTGTCTTCATATACATAGGTAATTTTCTAATAAATGCCGAGTTTGAGAAAATGATGACTCTACAGAGTTTAAGCACATATTTCCTAGTTTTCCTTTTTATTTACCCTTCAGTAATGACTGTCTCAGTGGTCATAATCTCCAATGACAGGAAAAAGATGAATTTGCTGTTAATTTCCTATTAGTAAGATGTCTGACAGTATCACAAATGTATTTTTCATTTGGATTACGGGTTTAGGACTTGTTCTGTACAGTTATATAATGAAATTACATTGCATTGCCACCATTGTCTTAGATCAGATGAAGCAGTTTAACTGAGAGACTGCAATCTACTTCAGAATTTTTTTCTGGAAACTTTTATTAAAAAAAATAAGAAAAAAACCCAACTTAAAAAGAGAATATTGTCGTATATCAAAGCAACAATAAATGAATGGAGATGTCTGTCCAAACTTTCTGCAGGATGACAGTAACCTGATAGTTACCTAGTAGTTAAATACATGGAAGCTTCGATGCAAGTTTTTATTTGTCCAAGTGTAGCTAGGAAACTGTATTCCATGTCCTTGAGGAGCACCTCAATTGCCAGATTACAGGATATTCTATGATACTCGATGATGAGTCTTCTAGCAGCTCTTGGAATCGCTTCAACTTGAATAAGCTGTTTTTTGACTAAGCTAATTCTTTGTATCACAGAGATTCTTTGTCTAAATGTGGAGCACAATGTCAGCTTCATGGGAGCTCATGGTTTGGGTCCTGTGCTATGGATAAGTGTTAACATGTTCAGACCAGCATGCTCACTCCAGAATAATCTAGCCATTCATGTAGGGGAGTTGAATGGAAGAACAGGGGATCAAGGGCTTGACAGCCTCCCTGTATTTGCTGTTTGAACATTGTCTCTAAGGTGTATGTTAGAATATCAGTTTGTTTCACTTTTTCGGAAAACTTGAAAGTTTGTGGGAAATAAATGTAATGCAGTAGAAGTAAATTGTAAATTGTGAGTTGTCTGAACTGCAGTTATATGTAGTAGAGTACCTTGATTTGCTTTTTCTACATTTTGGCATTTAAACTTTTCTAGTGAAAACACATTAGCAATTTTACTTTGTTCAAAACGCTACTTTAAAACTAAAACACTGTGCTTAAGCAAATAGAAAAGAATGAATTTGCTGCACTGTTTATGCACAGTTTTCTCTAGAAGAAGCAGATTTGAGAAGATGTTTGTGTGATTTGGGAGCTGTACATATCAGTGGTATATCAGAATCTGTGGCATAAATTGTTGAGTTTGAGCTCATTAATAAAGATAGTGCAAAGAATGTCTTATTCCGAACATCCAACTTCTGTTCCATTTTTTAGATTTTTGATTCACAAAAGTTGCAATACAAGAACAATTAACCTCATTTAGACAAGTAATATGATAATTTATCAAGACTGAAGTTTATTTTTAAAGCAATGTTGTTGATAGTTTCTGTAAGTTTAGATGGATGTAGTTAGATAAACCCCAGATTCTAATGGTTGATAATCATTCATTTGCTTGTGGCTGTGGCTATGTCAAAAAGTAGGGGAGCAAGTATTTCAATTAGCAATGTGTTAGCTTTTGCCAAGATAAATTTGAATTAGGAACTCGAACTTGAATAAAGTATATGATTTAATGGATTTAGGATTTGAAATTGACCAAATAAGGTGATGTCATTCCCTTAGAAACTTTTGCGCTACTTTTGTACCTGAAGTTGAACCTCATAGAGGAGATTAGGACAGCTTCAATTATGGGAAGAAAAAGCAGAGACAGGCTCAAGTTCCAGTCTTTGTCACTCCATGTTATTCTGTCCTAGTTTGGTCTTTCTTCGAGGTAAGGGAAACACTATGATTACCATAATTAACAGAATATTGCAACTAAAAGTTCTTGATCCTTTTACAATTTCTTCATTGTGTCCAAAGTGCAAGGCTGAACATTTTGAGTTTCCTAAAAACCGTTCAAGTCACCAAATGAAATAGTGTTAAAAGGGTAAATGAAGAAAAGTTTTTTGGTAGTAAGCTTTGGTTTCAAGACTTTGAAATGATCTGTTAGATGTTCCTTTCCAATTGTGTTTCTGAGACACACATGTTCCCCTTCCTTCCCTTCTTGATTCTTGTGTCAGTTTATGAGGCACTGAATGGCCAAAATTCAAGAATCACAGACATTTAAAGCAGTGCTTTCTTGGAACTGGTTGTTATGCAAAGAAGAAAGATAAAATATTGATTTCCATGGAACACAAAATCGTAGAAAAAAAGAATTTTTCTTTTCTCTGTCACAGCTTCCACTGATTCATGCTCTGCTGTATTCTCGGTTTTAGAAATAAAAGTCCATTTAACCCATACTGAATTGCATCTTGAACTTACTTGGCAGCTATACTGCAATAAATCACTCAAAACTCTATGAACAGTTTCTCAGGAATTGGTTTGAAAGATTTTTTAAAAAATAATTGTGTGTGTTTCTGTATACAGCTATACATACATACATATACATATATTCACAATCAAACCTCACAGAATTTTTAAATTATAGAATCATAGAATTGCTGAGGTTGGAAGGAACATTTAAGATCATCAAGTCCAATTACTGTCTAGATATAGTTTTAGAATATCTTTACCTTTTATTATAGTTATTGCTCAGTATTTCATATGATATTTAAAATACTTTCTAAACACAAACATTTGTGATGTTGGTTTGGACAATGGAGTAAGGCACACATTCTGATGTCTAAAAATAGATTGTTGTGTTTACTGCTTACCCATTTTAGTTCTGTAGGGATGAAATTGCAGATAAATGATGTAATCATGTGCCCCATTACTTACTAATTAGTGTGTGAGACTGTCCTTGAACCTTAAAGTATAACCCTGGGCCCTCTTACTTAGACAAAACTCCTGTTGACTTTACTGGAATAAGAATTTCAAAGTATAATGTGACAAAAGGGCTACGTACTGAACATTTATCTGTAAATCAGTTAAGTTATTACACTTAAACTACTTTCAGTCTTCTCCATTACATTTTCCCCAAAACATCTTTTTGCTCTGCTGTTCTCTCTGATCACAGAAAATGGTAAATCCTTCTGTAGAGACAATGCTCTCTGCTCTGCAAATGAGTTTCCACCTAACTATTAACTTATCTTCAGATACGGTTTATCTTGAAGAATGAAAGTTAAATGGAAAATTAAGTATTCAGAGTAGCTTCAGACATTCTGTGCATCATTTACCCACTCAGAGTCACAGTTCACATAACACACTTTGAGGTATTGTGAATCATATTTTAAACAAGCAGACTTTGAATGCAATGACAGAGAATAATAGAACAGGGTTTAATAATAAATATTAGCAATCTTTTTTTTTTTTTTTTTTCCTCCCGTAGCAGTCTGTTTTTCCTTACAGTGTTCTTCTCTAGATGCTGAAATGTAACTAATGGACAATTTACACAGTAATTTACTGTTTTATAGGTTGGAACTTGGGATCCATTGAGTGGCCTTAACATGACAGAGAATCAGAAAGGAAAACCAGCAAACATCACAGATTCCCTGTCCAATCGCTCTTTAATTGTTACCACCATCTTGGTAAGCAATTATATTTGCATTTCCAGAAATACAGTTGTACAGGAAAGCTAATACAATATACTATACTAATTACAACAGTAAAAACAGTCTGTAGAATACAGTACAGTTATATAACATTTACTGTGTCGTGAATGAACTCCAGTTGTTAAGCTAGTCATGGATATTTGCTCTTATCTGAATTGTAAATAAGTTATCCTAATTTTAGAGTTATGTCAGTTGATTAGTAATTTCACTTTCCTTATTATTGACTAAAATGTTTGGTTCTTTCAGAAAGCTATG